GACTTAAGTTCTACTAAATAATGATAGCAGACACAGCAGTAGCAATAGAATGTCAGGGTAGGCTAACAACAATAAAGAAAAAACTGCCACATGAAGGATAAAATCTTCATGTCTCTCCCATTTAGGCTTTATAGCAATCTCGCAAAGCAGGGGATTGGTAGAGATACTTGACTTTTTTAGAAATAGAAATTTACTCCACTATAAAAGTTGATTTTTCAAATGAGTCGGCTAATACCCCCATTTTCTTATAACTCTCCTTTCTTTATAAGCCATCTGTTTCCTATCCTTTTTCTGACTAACGCCTGCTTGCCCCTCCAGATTCCTACCTATCCTCCACCCTGCTCGATGTCCTGCTTGATGTCCTGGGAAACTTACTTAATATGGATCATATCAATGGGTTCTTTTGGTCTTTAAGTTGTTACACTTGGACAATGGGAGGGAATGGCAAGAGACTGGTGGGGAGCAGGGGTGTGAGGGGTAGGGGTCAGATATACCCCTTATCAAAGGCTGCAGGTGGTGTCAGGGGACCTTCTCCAAATAGCTACCTTCTTCTGCTTCTTTGCTCCTTTGGGCCCAGGGACGATAATGTCTCCCCATTTGCTGCTATCCCTTGCTCATATCTCTAAACCATGCCCACCTTTGTATATAATTCTTTTATTAAACTTTCCTCAAATTACCCACTTTGAGTATGCCGCTTATTGCCAAGACTCTGAATATAATTCTCTGCCCCTGTATCTTTGGAACACCTCCTTCAAAAGCTGCCAAAGCCTTTATATAAAAGTTGTCAAGTTAAATGGCATTGCCTACCTTGATTTCTCTTTGTAGCACCGGTTACTTCTTCAATACTCCTACTGTACTCAGTAGACCCTGTGATGGATCTTTCAGTTTTCTCTTCCCATTGCTGCCCTTCAAACATGGTAATTTGCAAAGGTCCTTTCCTAAATTCTCAACGCATCTCTCTATACTTTCTCTACCTTGGAATGCATGATCACTATGTTCATGGCTTTCCAAAAGATCTTTCTAACCCTACCTAGACTGTCTTTCACACTCTAGTGCAATTATTTCCAACTGCTAGTGACACTAAATGTCCCTCCTTATCTCATATCAACTTTAAGTACAAAATTATCAAGGCATAGGAAACCAGTATTTCTCTCTAGCTTCCTCACTTCCCTGAATTGTACCACCCTTTTCTAAGTCTGTTCTAATGCCCGATTCATTTCCACGTATATAACTATTTCTTCATAAGTTACTTTCATCTTTCTCTTCCTTCATTACTCATGCCATTAAATTGGATTTAGGATTAGCTTCAAGTTTGGTAACTGCATAAACTTCAAATTGGTACTTTCCACAGTATCTAGCATATGGCCTTAATCATTTTACATCTCAGTATTTCTTGCATTAATGGATCAAAACAAATTATAAAGGAACCGATATATAAATCTTACATAAAAATTTAGGTGACTAAGGGAAATATGTAATATGTCTGAAAAGACAAATATGGAAAAATACAGTGCTCATATTTACAAGTAATTAAAGTATTGCTTGTATGTCAGGTATTATACTACATACTTATATATACATAAGCTCATTTAATTTTTACACACATACACACACAGGTATCAATACACACATAATCACTTATGGGTGAATTACGGTTCCAGAAAATTAATTCCAAGTTCACAGGACTAGAAAGTGGAAGACTGTACAGTAAAAAGTATGCTTGTCTGTTATATTCCCAGTATGTTTAGTTTAACATGCATAGTGAACCTGAGCTTTATCATCAAGCTTTGAGCAAAAGAATGTTTTGGCTTATGTAAAGATTACTAAGTTCTATCTGTCAAAGTAAGACAGATTAGTTCATGGTATTAGATCTCCCTATCCAATTCTCTGCCTTTTCTGACTTATTAGCCTTAGCATGGTAACTTGACATGAGGAGGGAAGGAGGCAGGATGGTGGAAACAGTGTAAGGGTTGAATCCTAATCCGAGGGTGGTGCTGCTTGATCAGAAGGTGTTTTTAGAATCAAATGGAAAGCATTAGTTGTCCAAAAATCAAATTGAAACCGTGAGTTCTTCAGAAAGAACACTAAGCAAGCAAACAATGGGGCCCAAAAGTAGCTAAGTGAGTTTTTATCAACACATTAGTCACCAAATAAGCCAACCCTGAGGGACATCAGCCTGAGTTGGAACCAGGGAAAAACTGAGTGCAGAGGATGGCAACTACTATTTATTGGTTCAGAACCCTGATTCAGTAGGATTTATTTTCCATTTAAAGGGCCTAATAGCAGGAGTTCTGGATTTGGATGAACTATAGTGGAAGGACTAGGGAGGGTAAACTAGTCTAAAAGTCCTTCTGCATCACCGACAAAGTGTTTAAAACTGCGCATACCCCACTGATGAATTGAGACATTATCGATGAGGATATCCCGTGAAGACGAGGAGCAGAGTAAGGTTGAGAACCACAGAGCTAGAGCAGTGCTGACTGGGAGAGCTTAGAAACGCGTGCTGTTTTTCACTGAAACGCCATGAAATAAAATGACTCATGGGAGAAAACAAATAGATATTTTTCAAAAAGGAAGGGCATTGTTCACGGGTTTTCAAGAATGTTATAAATGCCATAAACTGTTTTTAAAAATGGGTCAGTGGTAAACAAAAATGCTCTTAAGTATAGCAGAGAGTCCACTTAGCTTAGTATTTTCTGCTTGATGGAGCAACAAGACATTATTTATATAACAATGCAGGAGTTGTACCCTCAGAATAGGTAATAAATTGGTAGAGTGCTGTTCCCTCTCATTCTAGGTCATCCTGACTTTTTTAGATAAAAATACCAATTGTCCTTGTAAAGCAAGGATATCTAAATTTTTGGACTGGGAACCTTATGAATAAAAAAATGTTTTGAGAAACCTCTCAATATACATATGTGTTCATCTGTAACCTTAAGAAACAGTGCTATACTAATATATGAGAGAAACATATAAAACCTATATAAAAAGAAATTACAAAGAATGGGAAAGAGATGACACAATTAAAAATGAAAACATTTTATACTAATGTACAAAATACCTTCGGGCTCAACTAAAAAACCTTAAAAAATCTTATGAAAATTGCAATGTAGATTTGAGGATCTGATTCTAAGTTCATTTTCAATAGCTGGTCCCATGGACCATGTTAGCTCAAAAGACGGGAGAGAAACAAGTTAGAGCCACTGGAAAAAGTGCACTCACTGTTAGCAGTGCCTACTAAATCACAATGCTTATTTTTTAAACATTTTTGGAAGTTTATGTATTTTGAGAGGCAGAGAGAGTGAGCAAGGGAGGGGCGCAGAGAGAGAGAGAGAGAGAGAGAGAATCTGAAGCAGGTTCTGCATTGTCGGTATGAAGCCTGATGTGGGCCTTGAACTCATGAACTGTGACATCTTGACCTAAGCCAAAACCCAAGAATTGGATACTTAACCGACTGAGCCACCCAAGTGCCCCCACGATGCTTATTTTTAATGTAATTTACTTAATCATGCTAAGGTTTTAATTGAAACTCTGCTAGTAAAATTTCATCCTTCTTGATGTTTTCTAATAGGTTCAAAAACCACCTAAACACAAGTTAAGAAAGACTTTAAAACAGGTTGGAAAATTGTTTTCCAGTTTTTAAATTACATGTAGATGTAACAGTTGGGTGATACATTTACATCATTTTTTGGCAACAAAATCACAAAACAGTGGACATTTTCCAAAAATCTATTCTCAAAACGTCCCCTTCATTTTTTGAAGTTTCTTTAAAAATGCAGTCACTTTCCCATTTACTCTAAAATATGTAATATTTGCCTTTAAGGGCCTGAGTATGTTTCTTTCTTAAACAAAGTATCTACATCCAAGTAAAAAATATCTACATGCAAGTAGTCATTTGTCATCATAGATGACAACAAATTTTGAACCCTCTTATTTTCATTAAAAAAACAAAGCACGAGAACTAAGATCAATATTCTTGAAAATACTAACTCATGAAATAGCCAGACAACCTCTTTATGCCATCAAATTATCATTCCCTCGGATTACCAACAATGTTATTTATGAAGGATCTACCGTTTAGGATAGTATCCATGAATCTACTTGTGTGGACATGTAGATAGGTCACAACATGCTGGAAGTGAACAGATGAGTAAGTCTGTCAGTGACAACCCCTCCCTACTGAGCCTCCCATTCTCCTCAGAGGAACCACCTTGAACCGACTCAAGACAGGCTGACACACAGACACATAGAGGGAGCCAGCATCAATCTTTGTATTAAATATTAGTAGATCTTAACTTCTTTATTCATAAATAAGAAATTACGATTAAAAAAAATTAAAATTCTAATATTTTTCCTATTCTCAATGGCTCATCTTGTATATTCCATAAAGTGTCTACTTTGGAGACTTCTGCTTTAAAAATATATGTACTTTTGAGGATTTAAAAGTATGCATATTCAAGTTACCTCTGAAAAACAACCAGTTTGCTTCCTTCCTCCCTCAAGCAATTCATAGTTTCAGACAACGTCAACAGAAATGGTTACCCCCAAATATCTTATTTTTTCAGTCACTTGAGAAAATTATTATCATTACCAGTTTGAAGGAATAAAAATATTCTTTAGAGTAAGTAGCAATATTTTGACTATCATTTATATAAATTATTCTCTGATAAACCATCAATGATGTTGACTATCAAAATATATCAATTCCAGTATTAATGTAAAACAACGCAAAGTTAAATGTGTTTCAAATGATAAGATCAGAGCTACATTTTATTGCTTTATGGAAGAATGACATTAAAGGAAATAAGACACAGCTCATTATTTTTATTAGTAACAGGACTTAAATTAGCTTGACAAGAGAACAGATGACTTCAAATACACGGTAAGAGTCCTTTACCAAATTAATTTCTCCCGGAAAATCAGAGAGAATAGTAATAGTCTTAAAAGCAGCTAGCTACTCAACTCCAAATTTGGGATTTTATTTCTGATGTGTGTCTTACCTTTGCTCCATGCTTATGTAGAACTTCCATGACATCATTGTGAGCTCTTTCTGCTGCAACATGCAAGGGAGTCATGAAACTGCGGAGAGGAGAGAAGGAAAATGTGATGTCCTAACTTTTGTTGCATTTCCCCTTTAAGAGCCGAACACCTCCTTCTGCGATTGCACTTACTCTTTATTTTTTTCATTAACATTTGCTCCTTTTCTAAGTAATAGTTCTGTCACTTGTTTTCGTTTGGGATGCAGGGAGGCCACAGCACAGTGCTGTAAAGTAAACAAAACTAAGTTAATAAACTTCTATTTAAAAGGAGAATTCTGAATTAAGTAGCATCTGCTGACTCTTTAGAATACTGTTATGTCAAAAAACGTTTACATATTTTATGTTATGGAGATGATCAAATTCTCCCTAAACACCTTGGAAGTGCAAGACACGGGCCTTTAAAACAAGATAAAATTATCTTAGTTAAGCATTAAGAAAGACTGTTTCTCTTCCTTTGGCCGATGCTTGTTTGAAGGTAACAGAATACTGCCTCTCCAAAGGTACAAACATCTATACCTCAGTTGTTCAATCCTTCATTGGGTTGTCAGCTACATAAATAAATAGTTCTCAAAATCTTCCCCAGAGCCACTCTGTGCACTATATAAGCCTATACGCCCAGGGATAGGCAAGAGGTAATAGACTTGAAGGAGCTTAGTGAAAGAAGTACTCTCAGAGGCTTAATGTTTTATCCTGTATTTATATGATTTTTGTATTCAACTTTGTTTTATATTAATGTTTTACATTCAAATTTTATGAGTAGGGGCACCTGGGTGGCTCAGTGTGTTAAGTGTCTGACTCTTGATTTCGGCTCGGGTCCCGATCTCATGGTTTGTGAGATCAAGCCCCGTGTTGGGCTCTGTGCTGACAGTGGCGAGCCCGCTTTGGGATTCTCCCGCCCTGTCCTCGACTTTCTCTTTCTCTCAAAAGAAACATTAAAAAAAATAAAATTTTAAGAGTTAAAACCTACTTACTAATGAATAAAATGAACACTCCCAAAAAGCAGGTCAGGATTATTCTGTTGCCTTGGGTGTCTCCCGGCATAACGCTGTATAACGTCAATATATCTGAACACCAGTTTGAGAGGCACGTACTTAAGTGTACATACAGCTGGCCCATTTCAGTTTGATGACTCTTTTAGTGTTGTTTTCGGCAGGTATTGACTACAGGTTGACTTTTTTGCGCCAGATATGTGCGGAAATTTTAACTGAAGCGTATTTAGAGGTCTGTGATATAGGCATCACACATGCTTAAATTCTGAACTCAGGAATAATTTTACCGGCCCTATACCTGAAATTTAATGTGGCCAATGATAAGAAAAATCAGCTAATCTTTCTAAAAGTACGTTAGAAGAAAAAACATGAACTGTTTAAAAAACAATGTGTACGGTCTGGAACAAAAAATTCATAATCTTCGTATTTTTCTATAATGAATGTAGTAATTCTTTGGAAAATTAAGAATAATTCTTTGGATAACTGCTCCAAAGGATAATGCAAGTATCTCTGAAAATACTTTTAATATTCTACAGAAGACAAACAGTCTTTACCTAGCAACCATAAGAAAAAGATTCTATAGAGAAAATCACATCTTGTATTTTATGAAAGAATTGGCCACAAAAGTAGACTTGTTAGAATACAGTTGGGTAAGGACAAAGGTAAAAATAATTCCCAAATCAAGGGTGAGCAAACATCTATTCTCTCATGCATGAAAGCAATCATCTCCTGAACCAAATTAAAAATCAATGCAACCAACATTAAAATGGAAATTTCTGGCATTTCTGATACGAAAGTTACTTAAGGGTTCTGAAATGAAAATCGTACATTGTGCTTCTATTACAGACCTAAGGAATGGATTAACAATGAAATCTTACCAGGGCAGTTTCATGAGACTGTGGTTGTTTGAAATTAATGATTTCCAAAGCAAGTGTTTTTTTAACTTTGGCTAGGTCTGCTTCTCTGGCTGCTTGCAGTAGAGAATGACCTTTAAATTCATCTGTCAATGAAATAAAGGTTGACATAAAAGATTTAAGATCTGTAAAAATCATTAGCATGATTACAAATAAGAAAAATACTAATTTTACATATTACTCTATTTTATCAATAGCAGTAACATGATGCTAGGATGATAAAGGCACAGAGGATGTGCAGTTAATGAAGAATTTTGAAAAATGTATGCTCTGCAATAACACGATTTTATACTCAGAGTCCACAGAGATGCACACATACAAACACATTTACCCCCGCTAAGTTTTAAAACAAGCAACCAAAAACATCTACCAAATGGAAGCCGGTTCTAAACATATATACACTGGAATACTTTATAGCTCTTAAAAAAAAAGGAGGTCTGCACACACTATCATGAAAATATACATAATTAAGTGAAAAAATCAAGTAGCAAAAGAGGTATGACAGGTTGACCCAGGGTTTTTGTATTGTTACTACTGCCATTGCCACCACAACCAAATATAAGAAATGGTACAAAAAAGGCACTAAGAGAAATATTTGCCAAAATATTAATAGTTTTAGCACTGAAAAGGGAAGAACTGAATTATAGGGGAAGTGCCAAGAGTCTGATAATTTTTCGAAGAACAAATAGTATTTTATTATTTGTATAAGAGATTTGTATAAGCAAGTAAGAGATTTCTTCAAAAGTGATTTCTTAATTAACTGCATAAATAAAAATCCAATATTCTAATTAAAAAGTTAGAGTCATGTTTTCTATTTTACAGTTTTGGTTTGTATTTTGATATGACAAAAAGCTGGAAATTCTTCTAAAAAGATGCAAATGATGTGTAAGCTAATATATTACATAGCAATCCCCGGCCAGCCCACATAGCCTTTGCACCTGCCTGCTACTAAATTCCTTTCTTTTCCTCTCTCCTCTCCTGAGTTCCCCATCTCACTCCCCTCTGTCCCTCAAAAGACAGAGAAAGACACACATGGAAACACATGTGCCTTAATAACTCCTATTACTGTGATGAATCACAAAATTCTACTACTGAAACTAAGATTTTACTATATGTTAACTAACTGGAATTTAAATAAAAACTTAAAAAAGAAAAAAAGAGAACTACTATCATCGTTCAAGGCCTCAGTTTAGATACTCTGGTTAGGCCTACCTGATGTTTTCCATTATTGGCTTAGGATTCCTTCTTATGAAGCCCCCTGCACTTGCATTAGCCTTACGTCACAGGACAGATCACATGATCTTATTTGCTATGGTAGTCCTATCACTTAGCACACTGCTTGTATATGGTATATTACGTATTCAACTTGTTGCATGAATGGTAAATATTTATAAAATAAGTCATGGCAGGTGCAGGGGAAAAACCATTTTTATGAAGCCTCTTGTTTAGTGGTACCTTATCACTGCTAAATTCCTCAAAGTATAGGACTTTGAAACTTCAGAAACTCAAAGTTAAGGTCAAATGAAGTAAAAGTAAACCAGTGTTTTCAAAACACAAAATTATAGATTTTCATGTTAATGATAAAATTAGGGATAAATTAAGCAGAAGAATTACAAGCTGCCATATGTAAGGAGCAGGATCCTGCCTACTGCAAAGGAAGGTGATGTGTTGAGAACGGATTTCAAACAGAAAGTATGGTTTTGCTTTGGCCATCAGTCTGGGGAAAGTTAAATGGAATTCAAATCATACTGGCTGTTTCTCTAATGACAAATGCTCTATGACTATCAAAATGATATAAGCAATTCTACTTTTTCAATTACTCTTTTGAGTTCAGGATAGGTGACTCAGAAAAAAAAATAAGGGTAAATTTACGAAAAACATAAGTAATAGGACTAGAATACTAAGGAAATTACGAAATTAGGATGTATGCAACAATGCAATTAGACATAATATTTTCTCAAATAACAAGAAATAAAATATTCCTTATCTTTGCTCTTTAGGAAAAAGTAAAGATGTCTGCCCAAATTGGCTTTCAAATTTAAAATATAGTATACTCAAGATTAAAAAAAACAGAATGGAAAAATCTATCAACAATACAATGATCCCTCTAAATGCAAAGGTTACATAAAGATTTGTTTTTAAAACCTCAAGGAAGTACTTAAGTAGCAAAAAGAAGGCAATAAAATTGCAAATTATACTCAAACTTACCTTGAAAACTTAATACTTATAAGATGCCATAAAAGTTTCTTCTTTTTTTTTTTTTTTTTTTTTAGTTTATTTCAGAGAGAGAGAGAGTGGTGGGCAGAGAGAAAGAATCCCAAGTTGGCTCTACACAGCCAGTACAGAGCCTGATGCAGGGCTTGAACTCACAAACCATGAGATCATGACCTGAGCTAAAATCAAGAGTCGGACACTTAACCAACTAAGTCACCCAGGTGCCCTAAGTTCCTCTTCAAAATCATTTTGAAACAAGAATGAAAGCTACGTTAGGTATTTTCAGCTTTAATATATGCAGAATCCAAACTACCTTGCTCATTTCACTTCAGGGAAACAGTAAAAAAAGAGACAGAAGAGCAGAAAAAAAAGTGTGAAATGAAAATGCTATAACCATGGGTAGGATAAAAATCTTGTTTGTTTCTTATATAATTACATAATTAAAAAAAATTTTAATATTTTTGAGAGAGAAAAAAAGAGAGAGAGAGAGAGAGAGAGAGAAAGTATGGGGGAGGGGCAGAGACAGAGGGGGACAGAAAATCTGAAGCAGGCTCTGTGCTAACAGCAGAGAGCCCCAAGCGGGGCATCAACTCAGGAACTGAGAGATCATGACCTGAGCCAAAGTCAGAAGCTTAACCGACTGAGCCACCCTGGTGCCCCTTGTATACTTTTCTTAAGAAGAACTCTGTTAGGAGTGCCTGGTGGCTTAGTCAGTTAAGCGTCTGACTTCGGCTCAGGTCATGATCTCATGGTTCGTGGGTTCGAGCCCCACTTCGGGCTCCGTGCTGACAACTCAGAGCCTGAAGCCTGCTTCATATTCCGTGTCTCCTTCC